GGAAAAAGAGGAAGAAAAGGAAGAAAAGGAAGAAGAAGAAGAAGAGGAAGAAGAAGAAGAAAAGGAAGAAAAGGAAGAAAAGGAAAGAAAAAAAGAAAAAAAGAAAAAGAAAGGAAGAAAAAGAAAAAGAAAAATAAAAAAGAAAAAAAAGTAAAGAAAGGGAAAAAAGGAAGAAAAGGAAAAAAGGAAAAAAAAGGAAAGAAAAAAAAAGAAGAAAAAAAGAAAAAGAAAAGAAAAAAAAAAAGAAAGAAAATATATATATATATATAATTAAGAAGAAAAAAACTTGCTCGATACCGCTATTGCAGCATCTTCCCTGCCGCGGGGTCGGATAGCGGTACTGGATAGCTGAACTTGGAGGGCTGGAAGGCTAAAGGGCTGAAGGGCTGAAGGGCAAAGGTGCTGAAGATGCTAAAAAATCGACGCTGTTGCGGCTGTGGCTGTGGCTGTGGCTACGGCTGTAATGCTTCCTCACTTACTTACCTTGTTCGTTCGTGCTGATTTGATGATGTCGTTTATACTCCGTATCGGGTTTGGATTTGATGACCGGCCGGGGGTTCGGAAGGGTTTATGTATAGAGTATGTACGATGGATAGTATTGTGGTGTGGTGTGGTGTGGTGTGGTGTCTAAGCCTAGAGATTGAAATGAAGAGGGAAAAAAAAATGAAAAAAAAGAAGACAAAAACAGAAAGATAAATATCGTATGTTTATACTTGTCTGGGTCTTGATAATACATAGCAGCAGCATGGAGTGAGAGAGAGAGAGAGAGATACAGAGACGGACGGACGGACGGAAAGTTATGGGCTGGGTTGGGTTACGGGTTGAGAGAGATGAAGGGTGGTTTGGGACTTTTTTTCTGCTTTGATTTAGGCGCTTGATGATAGATAGATAGATAGATAGACATGCAGATGTGCAGAGGAAGCGGGTGCAGGCAGGCAGAGGGTCCTAATTGTAAGTGTGAGATCTAGCTAAGCGAAGAGGGACAGGAGGGCTGTGTGGCGATGCGGTTTGTAAACATGCCGCGAGGTAGAGAAGGCGAGGGTTTAGACGACGTAGAGAAGGGAGGATTTAGACGGTGTAGAGAGAGCGAAGGTTGGAGACTTCGTTCAAGTGATGGAATCGTATAGCTCAGATCTCGAAGTTTTCTACGACCCGAGAGCGAGCGAGAGAGAGAGAGGCCTTTTAAGTTGACTGCGGGATCACCAGTGAGTGCTTTTCGAAGCTGGATGCTACCGTAGCAGCGGTTTCGCTCGAAAAGAGGCCCACCTCAGCGAGCCGACGGTTACGAACGACGTCACCCGCAATTGCGATAGGTACCTACCTATGTGAGGATTCAAATTCAGAAATAAGCTTGCCTGAGCTTGCCTGGTCCTTGAAACGGATGCTGATCCAGAGCTGGGTTGAAGTGGCGAGGGGATCGACCGCTTGGCAGGATCATAGCGGCGCAGGGACTCGGGCTGAATGAAGCTCTTCCTCGACCTTTTGACACCTCTGGGAGAGAAAGAGATTCAACGTCAGATCTTGACCCAATGCTCTTTCCTCCGTCTAAGCAGGCAGCAGGCTTGGAAAGACTGTGTGGGGCCAGCAGTCTTTGCATTCGTGGGACCGCTGTCTGTTGATATCTTGAGGCCGCCGTCGCTTTTAGCCCGGGTTCCTATCTTGCCACCGCGAATGCTGGGCGATGGTGATATAGGCTTAACGGTGATGTGTCGTTCTATCCTTAGGATTCCTGTGATAGAGATATCCGATAACTGAGAAGTGCTGTGTATATAACAGGACCGGTCTAGCCAACTCGCGACTTGAGTGGTTTGAAAATAGTCCTCGAACCGGACCCGTCACCGCAAAACTCAAGGCCTTGTCAATATCCATCCACACGGAAATTCGCACGGCCTTTCTCGCTGCAAGAGGACAGTTACCCGCCTCGGAGTAGGGTCAGAGTTCGCATTCATGGAAAGTGCCAGCTTCGATATCCCTTCTTGACGATGAGCAGTGGTATCAAACCGCGGCCTACAGCGCTGATACTGTGATACATCTGATCTTGGCGGGGTATTATAGGATGCGAGAACGTCATATCCAGGAATCGAAACATCCCATGTCTTAGCACATGACGCCAGGGCTTGAAGATGACGGCTGTTTTGAGATGAGATGACTCGCTTACTTTGGCTAAAAACTCCCCTTTTTTTTCCTTTTTTTTTTTTCTTTTTCCTTTGTTTTTTCTTTTTTGGTTGACGCACCTACCATGATGACGGGATGAAAGATGAGACTGCAATCTCTTTTTATTCCAGAATGTTTACTGTTTGCCTGAAAATAGCAAAGTCCGTGCAAGAGCGGGAGCTGACCCTGAGAAGGCGCAAAAGTAATTTTATTCTGGCTTCAGACTGGATCCATGCTGCTCGAGGAAAGAAAGAAAGAGCCCAAGGCAAGAAAGCACCTGGAGATGTAACCGCACATGTCCCTTTTGATTGATTGCCCTGCACTTGGACGTACGGACGCAGCTGGACAGAACTCGACAGTGCCAGTCGGAGCAAAAAGGGATCGGGTGAAGAGTGGTCGAATTGACAGAGCATGCATGCATATCTGGAAGATGCTGCTGGTGATCGCTCATGCTTCACCATTTCAAAATAAAGTCGAATGACGAAGAACTCGGTGTTCGACTTGGTGTTGACTCTCGATCAGGAAGCTCGGCTTGTAACCGAGGGCTTTCAGGGGTTCGTTCGTTGCAAACAGGCGAGATACTAGTGGTGGGGGGGCAAAGCAAAGTCTGTGCCCGACGACGGCCCAGTTGCCAAATCATCAACCCAAAATCAACGTCCGTGTAACTATCTTCGACTGCATCATGTTTCTTACCGTGCCATAGCTATCCCAATCATTGTGGGACTTGCACCTGGACTTTGCCAGCTCTCTAATCCTTCTGAGCGTTCATGTCCACGTCGATACTCTTAACCGAGCTCTGTTGACAGGGTCCCAAGCAGCTCTTCATCATACTTGTGTGTACATGCTGCAAAGCTCGAGTCCTGTAGCAAGCAAAATTGCTGCAGCCAGTCGGTTCCAGCACCTAGGTAGAACCTTACCATATCAAGGCGCAGCTCCCGACTTTTCGTTCTTCTGCGACTCTCCTGCTCGTTTCTTCTTTTGTCTCCACGTTTCTCTCTTGCATAAGTGCAGTCCGAACACCCTGCGGGCCCGCGATCGCGGAACAGGCTTTTCTTCCTGTCATGTTTAAGCGGTTTCATTCAGCTCCCCCCTCGCTCTGCAGCGGAGATGTAAGCCCAGCGGGAGGTGGATCCTGCATTTCGACAGACGCCACAGCGTTCGTTGTATGGGGCTTCCGCAAAGCTGCGATGCAGCACCATCGTTGGAGCTTGTGCGGTAGACTACTACCCTTGCTGCATGAGAGGCTCATGGGGAGGAGTGATGCCTGTTAAAATAGTTCAGTGGCCTTCAGTGTCTGGGGATCTCGGTCAAAGCAGTTTGCGTTTCCACCTTAAGTATATCCTGCTCCTGTCGTTGCGATTGTTAAGCGGATATTGCCAACCAACATACACTTCCCAAATTCAGTCTTGTATCGGCACCTGATTTCCGACATCACTTCCAACCTCTCCTTGCCATCCAACTTGTGGAGTTGACCAGGCAGGCCAAGCTGGTAGAGCGTGAAAACACATGGCTCACGTTGCGGATTTGCCGGAGGACCAGCTCAGCAGCTTGGAGCTGAAAAACCTTATTGCAAAAGAGCTATCACCGTCGTACGACATGGAAGCAACTCTAATAGCAGTAAGTTCGGCCACCATGTTCGGAGCACTCGTATACTGAAGATTACACAGGCAACATACGCCCCCTTTACCGAAAACTCGGAGAAACATGTTTGGCGGATGCACCAACCTACCGAACCTCGAAAGTGCCAACTGTTCCAGTCGGCAAAGGAGAAGCTCTCGTCAGCTGCTAGGCAGAAGATCGTAGAGGAGCCATCACAACCGACGATGAAGCAAACGGCATCGAACCACCAGGAGAGATCTCTCTCCGCCGGTTCGACTCGATCGAATTCCAGAGATCAGACTCCTAACCGTCGACGCAAGATCAGCATCTCTGAGCTAGGTCCGATGACCACTGTCCAAGAAAACTTTATGGATTCTCGTGAGTTCCGTCCAGTGAAGGAGTACCGGCTTCAAGAAGCTGATCAGAAACTTCCAGCTACAATCCCAGGCTACCTACCGGTGCACAGGCGATCCATCAGCGTACCTGGTGATAGCGGGCGACAGCGTGTCTTTAGCGGGAGCACACCGTCCTGCGCATCCAGTCTAGTATTATGTGAGAACTCCCCATTAAGCCCAAAAAAACATGGAAGCACGACACAAACGCGTGCGATCTCTTCTCGCGACAACTTCTTTTCCGACGACGACGATGAAGTCGATGAGGACGATGAGGACGACCGCGACGATGACGATGAAGAGGCTCTGGAGCCGCTCACAGAACAGAAACCATACTCCTCCTACAACAAGTCCCGATCAGCATCGCCGCAGCATCCGATATCTCCTCGGTCACTTGCACCACTCGACTTCCCAGTCTCGACGTCTGCTCAACTACAGCGGTTCAACGAACTATCATCTATGTCTCTTATGCATTCTCGCTCGGAAGATGACAGCTGCGATATACCACCAGACGTGCCACCAAAACCTGCCCGGATGACAGTAGGCTCACCATGCTCAAGGGACTTGCCATACACTCCCATGACTTCGTCCGTGTCCAGCATGCTTTCAGCATCCACTGCCCCAACGTCAGTCTCAAACACGCCTCCTTCGGCACTTCCGTATCTCCAGTACCCACTGGAGGGTCGTTCGTTACCCAAGCCGCCTCCTTGCTTCTCGTCTGCCACCGAAGGTAGATCTCCACCGAGGCCATGGAACGGGACATCCTTACCCAAAGCCAAATCCTCACCCAAGCCAGGCTACATGGGCCACTCCCGGTGCGGCTCAGACGCCCCCATGGAGTCCAAGCAGCGACACGAGCGAGCCCTCCATCTCGGTCCCCAACATGGCCACCGGCGCTACGATTCCGAATCCGCAGCCTCGATTGTGGACCGCGGCCGTCTCCAACACCGCTGTCCACCCCCAGGCTTCTCCCGGGGGACAGGGCCGGATGACAACCGCTCCCCCTCAAACGCAAGGCCCACCGCATCCCACAAGCTCTACTCCTCATCGTGCTCTTCGCGGCCCCCCCAGCCCCCAGCCGCGAGAGACAGGAGGGCCGAGGAGCAGCGCGCCTTCGAGCACCTCCCCTCTGGCCACCCCGCCAGCTCCGCCCCCGCCCACCTCCCGCCGCGCGAGATCCAAAGCCTGCACAAGCAAGCCCTCGGCCAAGCCGCCCGCTTCCAGGTGCTCTGCACCAAAGACGTCGAGGCCCTCTCGCGCGAGCTGGCCGCCCTCGACGAGCGCTGCGAGTACCTCCGCAAGGCGCACCACTCGCTCCGGGCCGGCCGTCGCAACCTCCACGAGCGCATCTGCAGCTCCCTCCGCTCGCCGCCGCCGCCGAGCCACGAGAGCCACGAGAGCCACGAGAGCCTGCTTCTGCTGCTGCGCCAGACGGAGGCCCTCAGCGAGCTCGACGCCAGCATCGACGACTGGGTCGCGACGCTGGAGCTGGCCGACAACCGGCGCACGCGGGTCCGTCAGAAGCTGCTCGAGCACGTTGCTGCTGCGCTGCTGATGCTCGCGCCGCCTTCGCCCTCTCCGGAGCCGGAGCCCGAAATCGACAGCAGACGGAAACAAGAGGAGCATGAGCTCGCCTCCTCCTCCTCCTCCTTTTCCTCCACAAGGTCGCCGTCGCGCTCGAGAGGACAGCAGCAGCAGCAGCAGCAGCAGCAGAAACAGCAGCGCGCGAAGAGCGCACGCACCGAGTACTCGATCCAGATCTACGCCGACGGGGAACTCGCCTTGCTAATGGCAGACGTCGAGAGCGAGATTCAGCGTCTGCGCGCGACGGAGCCTGCTACTTCCTCCTCCTCCTCCTCCTCCTCCTCCTCCTCCTTATCTCCATCCTCCTCCCTATCTCCATTCTCATCATCATCTTCTCCCTCTTCAGCCTATTCTTCAGCCTATTCTTCAGCCTATTCTTCAGCCTATTCGACCTCCTCTTCCATCTCACCTCGTGAGCTCAACGAGTCGCACGAATCGCACGAGTCGCACGAGTCAAAGAACAACAACAACAACAACAACAACAATAACAACATGAAGAAGAGCGTGATCCAAACCCTCGCAGCAGCAGAACTCGAAACCGAAACCAGAACCGCAGAAAAGGTGGACGAAGAAGGAGAAGCAGAAGAAGAAGAAGACGAAGCAGAAGAAGACGAAGCAGAAGAAGAAGAAGCCGAAGAAGTGCCAATATTACTAAGCGCTGTAGCCTACGAAGGAATGAGCGGCACGCTGCAAACGCTCAGGAGGGCTGGGCGGTTAAGTGATTGAGCGTTTTTTCTTTTTTTCTCTCATATTTTTTTTTTTCTTTTTCTTTTTTTTTTCTTTTTTTTTTTTTCGCTCATCTATCTATCTAATCGTCGGTTTCCTTAAATTTTAATTCGAAAGAATTGACCGACTTGCTATAGCAAGTCGGCACCACCAAGGCGGGACACCCAGCAAGGCGGGACAGTAAAATTTGCTCTTTTTTAATAAATAGAAAATCAATCAACTATTATATAATAATTGTTTTTGTATCTAAAGATGCACCGTATTAAGCTTAATACTAATCAATTAATCAAATTTTAATTCCAAGTTGTTATTCCTTTATTGTGTTGAGTTAAAGTAATAAAAATAGTACTTTTGATCTTTTTTTTTTCGATTTTACTATTGAGTATATATCAGAATTGCCGCGTATATATTAGAATAAGCGAGGAACACGAAAATCGGACTTTTATTTAAACCTATCAAAAGAATACGTGCATCACTACCAACTTTTATTTAATAGTTAATACCTTTAGTAATATAATATATTAAATCATTTATTTTCGATCTATGTGACGTTTTTTTGAATTAAGGTTGTGGTTATCAAGATATTTGCAATAAACAAGTAAATTTGAATTATTTGGGACAGTTTTTGACCGTTTTTTCATTTCATTTCAATGTATTAGATTACCACAAATAAATGGATTTTTATAATTTTAATTCAAGTTTGTAAAGAAAAATTTTCTAAGCATATAAAGATTTTATTTTTATTTTTTATAATAATAGTTGTTGTTTAATAAGTGGTATACTGTTACTGTCCCGCCTTGCTGGGTGTCCCGCCTTGGTGGTGCCGACCTGGCTGCGCCAGGTCGGGATTTTTTACAAATTAAATTCAAGGTAACCGACGATTACCTATCTATCCCTTTCCGCCCAATCTACAAAAACAATTTTCCTTTCCTTTCCTTCCTACTTTGTCAACCCGTACTCTCTAGATGTAATCTAATCTTGATTTCACGAATTTGGATTTATGGTTTAGTGTGATATGGGATGATGTTGGGGTTTGGATTTTTTTTTTTTATGGGTTTCGTGTCGGAGTGAGGGGTGATTGGCGGTTTGTGAATGAGTGAGTGAGTGAGTATATGAGGTGAAATGAAATGAAATGAAATGAGATGTCTCTTTTATTTCTCGTCACCTATCTATACTCTTTCTGCTTTACCTCCCTCTTTTACAGCACTAATGATGTCTTCATTCGGAGATGCTAGACGAGCGTTGATTTTACAATTGAAATTTTGAAGATGGGATATAACGTAGGATCAAAAAGTAGAATGGATACTTTTCCGCGAGAAAAGCGGAATGGATTCATCGACTCCAAGGATTGGAAAGAAAAATGGTAGCACTATTTAATATTGCTCTGAAAAGATTCAAATTAATCATATACCTGCTCCAAGAACCCTCGCACGCGCTTTCTGCCAGCAGTCAATCATCCGCCATGCATGACGCCCCGTCACGCTCCAAGCTTCAGATCCTTCTCCACCATCTGCCTACATATCGGATGGTAAAAGTCCTTATTCTTCTCGAACGTCTCCAGCGCCAACTTCCGATCAACCTTATTCAGCCCCCTGAACAGCGGTCTGACGAACTTCATGCGTCCAACCTCGCCCAGAAGTTTCGCTGTGAGCGGGTACACAGTTTCGTCCTTAGCTGTCAGACCGATGCTGAAGTATCGCATGCTGAGCTCGACATTGCGTGATGTGGCAAGCTTGTACTCCTTACCCATGGCTTGGGATTGAGCGGGCGACAGAGGCTTCTCAAAGAACTGGACTTTCTCGAGGAAGACAACGATTTGGTTGGCGCTTAGGTCTTTGATGTCATCCGGGCTGGGCTGGTAATCAGGGTCCGTCCATTTGTCGGCTAGCTTGTATACGCCATCAACCATAGAGGTGTCAAAATTGGGCTTCGGTGGGAGACCAGGAGCGTGGAACCACTTCTGCCAATCAACTTTCTCGAGATCTTCTGAGGCCTTCTTGTCGGAAGCGAAGAATTCGAGGAGGGTATCCTTGAACTCCTTCGAGTCGAGGGACTTGCCGGACCATTTCTTGAAGTAATGGGGGATGAAGGTGTCGAATTTAGGCTTGCCGACGAGTTTCTCGAGATAGTAAAGGAAGTGGAAACCCTGCTGACGTCAAAAATGGTCAGAGGAGGTGTTGGTGAACTAACCTTCTCGTATGGGATGCTGCTGAACGAGTCATCAGGGTCCTTACCGCGAAGATCGATCACGAGCTTGGTGAATTCGTGATCGGCACCAAAGTTGTTGACCGAGTCCTCTGACACGATTTTAGTGCTGAACAGCGAGGGAGGTGCAATAAGACGTACCTAGAGCCTTCCATCCAATGATGGCGGAGAAGTCTCGATGAGGCTCTCCATGAACAGCAGCCAAGATTCGGCGTTCAAGGTAGACGGTCCATCCTTCATTTAACCACATATGCTCCCAACTGGCATTCGAAACCAGGTTTCCACTCCACGAATGAGCAAGCTCATGCGCAACGACATCGATGTTCTCCCGATCACCACTGATGATCGTGGGGGTAGCAAACGTGAAAATCGGGTTCTCCATCCCACCGTACGGGAAGCTGGGCGGGAGCACCAGAACGTTGTACTGGGTCCACTTATATGGGAAGACGATCTTCTCGGCAAATTCAATATACTTTTCAATGTCCTCTTCCAGCTCCCACTTGGCACTTTGGAGCTCTTCTGGGCCTGTGGAGACGAGGGAACGAGGGCCAATTGCAGCTGTTGCAATGTCTCCAGAGGCAATAGCAAAGAGGTAGGATGGCATAGGAATCTCCTGGTGGAACGTATACAGCAGCGTTCCCTTCTCACCATCCTCTCCATGCTGGAAGGCCGAAGCACCAGTAGACAGACCACTGGCAATAACAGGAAGAGGCGAGCGGATCTTGAAGTCATACGTGCTCTTCACATCGGGCGTATCTTGACACGGGAAGATGGATCGGTTGTGGATAGCCTGACTTTGAGAGAACATGTACGGGAATTTCTTGTTGCTGGTCTGAGCGGGAGGGAGCCACTGGAGAGACGTGCATTTGTCGGTCGTGGCGAGAGTGATGGCAACGTCGAGCGTAGTCCCCCGAGCCGCACCACCGTGGACCTTGATACGGAGGGGACTGCCATATGGCTCCGATCTCCTAGCAACTTCCCAGTCTTTCGTCTTGATGCCACAAAGGCGGATCTCTGAGATATCCAGGAAGCTGGAGTCAAGGATTATCTCTTCAGACTGCTTCTCGGTGGTAGACTCCAACGTGAGCGTCACGGTCCCCGTGAGACGTTGCTTCTTGAAGTCAATAGCAAAGTCGGCGATGGTGTGTTTGGTCTGCCAGAAGTTGTAGTTCGAGACGGTGGTAGGGTCTCGACAAGTCTTGGTGGTGGTAACCATCTTGCGGACGAGAGTCATCTGAGGGTTTGGGTTGAGGTTTCTGATGGCCGAATAACGTGATCGAAGGACAGAGAGGACGCCTACGTTTGAGAGGGTTGGGTTCATGAACCCGAACTTGAACTTGATGACTGAGGCAAAAGATAGACGGATACCGGTATCTCGGTTTGAATACACAGACAGCAAAGAAAGAGGACTCGACCTGTTGTTCGAAGCTTTCCTCCTCCCTCTAGCTTCTGTCGGGGTGATAATCACGTGTATAGAGTCACATGTGTAGAGGCCCAAGCTCCTCTTTGTATCTTCGCCTACAATTGATTTTTCTCTCTTCTTGCCCTCTTCCCTCCCTCACACTCTCACACCCTCTTCTTCTCTACGCCATGTATCGTCTCTTCTCCTCTCAACAACACTCGGCCCATAAGCCTCAAGATACCAAGATCCATTCATAACAAGGAATCGTATTTGTATACTTGCTCCTGGTCGAGAGGCAGAGCTCCACGGTCCATGTCCAGCGGTCGCCTAGCTCTCCCATGCGCCGCCCGGATCTTGAGGACCTTTCTACCTTGAGGCTTCCCTGGCACCTGGTCGGCTGCAGGAGCGTGGTAGAGGCATCCAATGGCACGACCAAGACCCAAGCTGGAACAGACTACCGACAGACGCTCGGTAGCCTCTTGTAACATCGATGGTGCGTTCCTTTCCTCGAGTCTTTCCGTTTGAGCCCTTATGCCCGAACAATATGTCATGATGAACGACATTGGTCCGTGTTACTGAGAGGCCTCAAGAACCTCGTTATGGCGACAAAACCAAGCATTCAATTGCACTTCTGAATTTCTTTCTCGTTACTACCTCCTGGATCATGTCTTAGCTACAGAGTGCTGATATTTATACAGATTTACAGCTTCACAGGCCTGAACTATGCCCCCATCTCCTGCCTACACACCCTGATGCCCACATATATCCGGTATTGACTAATAGGGAGGGTACTTATCGTGAGTGACATATGGAATCTGGACGTCGAAGATGGCTTCAAATCTGCAGAAAGCCATTGTTCGCTTGATACACGATGTGTAACTTGAGCTCGAGAGTCGAGAAGGGCTAGCATGCTTAACTATTGAGCTGAGCGCGCAAGTGCGTCTCTTGAGGATATGAATAGACTGTCAAGTACTTCTGGGTGGGTCGTGGGCTTGTTGAATCACTCTTGCCTTTCACACCAGGTACTCCTTAGGTGAAAGTTTTTGCTCCTTTCATTTGGTAGCATACTATCATCACATATTATCCATTCCTCACTGCAGCCTTGCTCTCTTTGCAGCGTATTCCTTCTGTGTCACGGCCTCATGCTTGGCCGGATTCTCCACGTTGGTGCTCCCCTTGAATACCTCCACCAAAGTATTCTCGCCAGTAGCAACGAAGTACGGAATCGCGTACCGGGCTCGGGTCATACGCTCGGGTCCGGTGAAGAGGTTATTCAATGGCGCCGCGGAAGTACCACTCGGTGCATCGTGGACTTGAGGTAGTCTGCAAGGGTATCAGATAGGCTGTCTCCTCAGTGCAGTAGATACTTCGGGAGACAAACCATTGCTCCAGCGCATCAAAAGATCCCCCATATTCATCAACAACGCCCCCTCCACCAGTACAACACTCCCCTACTCCCCATCCTTCACCTGGACCTCCAATCCACCACACGCGTCCTGGAACAACAGCGTAATCGATCCCCAGTCAGACTGCTCCTCCATTCTTGCACTACTCCCTTCCTCCAGCTCCCTTGCCGCAATAGGCGGATAATGTAACAATCTCAATTGATTGTTCATCCCGGAATGCAACTTTAAAAGCTTGCCTGGATCTGACAATCCCAGCCCAAGAGCCCACGCCTCGAGGATCAAAAGCGCCGTAGCCGACAGCGTCTCATACAACGTAAACATGAACTCTCCGAACCCAGGCAGCACCTCAGGCGTTATCCAGATATTAAGCTGCCCTTGATATTAAGCTGCCCTTGATTCCCCGGATGTCCTATCTCGTAACTCTCCTACATCCTCGCATCAGCTCACCGCTTTTCTCGCTCATTATACCTCCCCATCGAACCAGTAAAGTTCAAAGGAGAAGGGAATACACCTTGCAATCCCTCACTTCTTTTGCCTCCCTTTCCACGCTCTCATCCTGCGTCACCTTCTCCAGCCCGGCCCATGTGTACCCCCTATGCACACTCCATCTTACTGGACGCGGCGCTAGCATCTTCTCTTCCGTTTCGACCATGCGAACACTTCGCCTAACAGGGCGGATGAGACAACATGGTTGGCGAGCGCTTTAAAGCCTACGTCGTGAGATGCCCTCACCGATGCCTCTGCGGTTCCAAGACGCTGCGAAGGAGTACTGGCAGGGCAGAGGTAGGGCGAGAAGTTGACTAGGGATAATTCCAAAGGGATTCCGGTCTCGAGTTTTGCGCTGCTGCTCATTTTGTTACTATTTACTCGTTCTCTTCACCGCTCGAGTATTTGATGGCTTTGTATTGCAATTTTTTGCGGGGTCAGATCTGGTATAAGCAAGGCGTTTGCCGTGGTTTTAGCTGTCCTGTTGTATTCTTCCTTACGGGAACACGGTGTTGGGTGGTTGTGAGCTCGCGACGCAAGGAGCTCTGGAGTGGCGATCCGGGCTCTTTCTTACATGCATATAAGCAGAACACATCTTTCTGCCTAGCTACCGCATTTGTGCTTATAAATATGTCCATACATAAATGAGTTCGTCAACCGTACATAGTGCTCATCGTCTGTCTCTCATTTCATAAAGGAACGAATAGGCAACGTCGGTTTCGAAGCGTAAGCTAATCGTCGGTTTTGCGCCAGGTCGGGATTTTTCACAAATCAAATTCAAGGTAACCGACGATTAGCGGGTAGATATGACAGCTTAGAGAGAAAAAAAAACGTCAGAGTTGGGTATGTTTATGCATATGATGCTGATTGCTATACTTATGAGGAGAGTAATTATATGTGTGGATGAAGAAATGGTTGATGACTCGGGGTGAGCTGCGCTGCTGCGATTTTTTAAAATCTATTTCTATTTTATTTTCCTCATATCAGCAACCTATTTTTACCTCTTGAATGGACTTGCTCTGGCTTGAATCTCGACTTTCAGAGCTTTTAAATGTCTTCGACTTCAAAGTTTTCTTCATCAAGATATTTCTAATGCCGTTCGTTATTCTAGCATGCATAACTTCCATCGACATTGAGCCTTGGTTGTGGTGGCTTTGAGGTGGCTTCCCAGCTAGCCAAGAAGAGTCCAGGACGCTTTTTGAGGGTCGGATAAAGTTTTT